TTGATCACTTTTGATATATAATCAGCTTCCTCATCCTTCACACACCTCTCCTTCCCCAAGAAACTTCTGATCACCACGGCCTGTATTCAGCAAGACTTCTATTGGTTCAGATTGGCAAGAATCCCTCCTTACTCCTAATGTTGTCACTTAGCAATTTTCCATCCATTGACTCAGCCTGTTCCTTGACTATAAATTCCAAGTTGTCCATGCTGTATTCAGAGTCGAACCAAATTTGTCTCCCCCATTGCAGTGCTCTGCAGTGCCTACTGCAATAGTCCCACTTTGAATAAAGTCTTTTTCATTGTCTTTAACAAGTATGACTGAATAATTATTTTTGTTTTCCACCATGAGCTGTCTCAACCTTTAATCTCGAAGAGCATCATTATAGGTCTGTTTATGTTGTGTGAAGATCTATACATTCTTATAATCACCCAGGTTCTTTGTCCTGGAAGTGAAGACTGGAGAAAAAAATTCACATTCCTTTACTTCTACACTCCCTGCTCTTCCTCATCTCCTTTATTTGTAGATGTTTTCTGATACCCGAAGAAGAAATAAACATATGAAGAGTCATAAATGGTTTGGGGCAACATTATTGTCATAAAAAAATTATTAAGAGCACTTGAAATTCATACTCAACACATGGAACATAAGAAGTCTAAGGGTTTACAGGAAAAGTGTCCCAAAAGACATACAGCCACTTGGAGGGTGTCTCTCTCTCCAGACCTTACATAAACTTCTGAGAATATTATTTCTCCAAAGAAAGAGCCAATATATTTTAGCAGTACTCTTTCTTCTGACTACAGAACAATGTGTCTCTGGAGGTACATTTTGCTTGACTTTCTGTCCTGCATTGCTTTACATTTGGAGTGGGTCTATCTGAAGTAGGGTTGTTGTGAGCTTGTTTACTTCCATTTATTTTTCTTGAGGTGGCACACAGAGAAGCAGAATGGCATTTCTGTCCCTTTGAGGGGCTGTTTATGCTTTTTTTTCCATCTGAGATAAAAATTGCAAGTATTCCCTACAATTGAATCCCAAGAAGAGCTGATGAAAGCTATGGCTCCTATTCACTGGCAAACACATCTAAAATACTGAAAACAATTTTGGCAGTATTGCCTATTCCTTTGTCCCTTGAAGTCCATCCAAGAAGGGTCCATGTCCATAGGCAAGAGGTGGATCATCTCTGCTATATAAAGACTTGTTTTCTCTCTTCCTCTTTTTTCTTCTTCCTTTCTCCACTTATTTCTTCAGATCAAGTCAAGACATAATACTTTAGTAGCGAGTATGGTGGAAAACTCAGCACTGAAAGAAGGAAGAGATGCACTCTCTACTTGTATTTTACCAAGTGAAACTCAGAGTCTGACGTTTGGCTGAGGCCAGTTATAACACTCAGTATTTGGAGATCATGGTTACACAGATGATTCCAAAGGACAGACTAGCAAATAGTCAGTAATCTGGGTCTGGACCACCTGAGGGTGAGCCTTTGAACTTGAAGTTCCACAGGCTAAAAATACTCTTCTGTGATCTTTATTTGGCTCTGTTCTCCTCATCTACTGGTCTCAATTCAACTACTCCCTTCTAAAATAATCTTTTCCTATCTATCTCAAATAGCTTCCTTACCAACAAGGTCCCACCTGTTACCCTATTCAGTCTTTGAAATGTTTACTACCTCCTGTAATTATTTTTTATTACTGAATTTTTTTATCAAATGTCTATGTCATTAAGTAGGATATAAATGACCAGAGAGGAGATATTTTCACCTGCAGCATTCTCCCCCATATCCTCAGCATTTAGAACAGCACGTGGAATTCAGGAGATAATCACAAAACATTTTGAATGAATGAATAGAAGGTAACTAAACTGAGGATCGGAGATATTCTTGTCTGTGATTTTTAAACCTGTATTTCTATACAAGTATGTAGCTTCTCAGGGACATTGGAGGAGTTCTATGCTGAAAGTAACAACACCTCTGATGGGAATGTTTCTAAAATGTGCAATTGTTGCTATATTTCTGTTCTATCATTTTTCACAGATTTCAAAATGTGTCATAAAATATTATTGGGTCAGGGACCAGGCAGGCCACCAGATGATTGAGAATGATTTATTTCCTTGATTTTAGATTACCGAAGAAAGATTGCAGAACTGCAGCCAGTTCTTATCTCTGAGCTTACAGAATATGAAAGATAAAAGGTACCTTGAAGTTCATCTATTCCAAATTCATTTTTAATTTAAAAAGCCATTCTATACCACCAGTGACATGGTTATCTGACCTTGACTTTAATATTTTTAGTGATGAGACACTCACTATTTTATAAGAAAACCTGTCTCACAATTGGACAGATTTTGATGAGCAAGGTCTTCCTTCTATTGATTCAAAATTTCCTTCCTGTAACTTCTGGGCCTTGGAGCAACAATGCGTAAATCTAGTTCCTGTTCTGAATTATGAACTTTGAAATACTTGAAGACATCTAAAATATTGCTCTTTAGTGTTTTTAACTTTAGAGTAAACATCCCAAATACTTCTAGCTGTTATTCACTTATTTCTTCTTTTATACCCTCATCTTCCTACTGGATTATCACTGGACACACTACAGTTAGAAAACATATGTTCTCTAGGGAAAAGTGGAATTAAGTCATATTTTTAATTATGGATTTAATTACACTTGTGCCATAAAGCTACTAAATGATCCACTTTTGTAAATCAACTATGCATACAATTATGTACTATATAATTACCAATATCAGCATCTGCTATTAATTGTAAAATGCAAAAACAGATTATTCTGATAATGAACTTCTTAATTGGCCGGAAGTCTGTGTCTAAAGAATATCTTATAACTGAGAATACCAGCTAGCTAGTGAAGGTCTTTTGAACAAAATACGAAAATATTCAAAATAATCTAGGCTACCAATTTGCACATGCATAATAGTGTGGCTTCTTTCAACAATTATAGACATCTTGAAAGTAAAGTATACTGTTATAAAGTACTATTAGTGAAAATAATTCAAGCTAAAGTACTAAAAATGAATTTTGTGTTTTCCAAGGAAAAGATTTTAAATGTTAAACTGAATATTTTTCATCTGAATAAAATGAAAAGACTTGTATGAAACTGATGTCTTCCCAAACTTATGTTTTGTCAGCCTTGTGATCTCAGTCATAGCTATAATCACATCATCAGAACTGATCACTAAAGCAGAAATTATATTACGTTGTGCAGCACAGTAATTTTCCATATTGACTTGCTACTTCTGAAAGCCAACAGATGGTTTGAGTTCACATTAGGAAAGTTGATGGCTTCAATTCACATGTCTACACATATCTATACTGCAATCACCTATTTTATTAATGCCTAACAGTAAGTTAAAATGTATTTGAATATCCATAATTACATTTTCATTGTATGCTATGTCAAAAATATTGAATGCTGTTTTCTGTTTTATGGCATGAACATGATTTTGCCGCATCTGTTAATTGAGCATCCTATTATAGACTAGCCAATGTAGTACTGGCTTTCACCTACAGCAAAAGATCTCGCATAATCACTAAGGCACCTAGAAACATTGACGCAAGAATGTTTTGGTCTATTAATTCTACCTTATGTATGCCTTCTCACTGAAGCCAAATGTTACTACCTACAATACATTCAAAATGATGATATCCAAATATAATGCTTCTGTGGCGTATGAATGAAAATAAGTATTTTGATTATATTTTAAAGTAAAGGAGCTGAGTTATTCAGTTATTTTAATAATTCTTATTATGAATTAGATTTTGTCTTCCCAAAATTCATGTTTAAATCCTAACCTCTGTACCTCAGAATGTAATCTTATTTGGAAATAAGATTGTTGCAAATGTAATGAAATTAAGATGAAGTCATATTTGAGAAAGATGGGCTCCAACGTGAGTTGGTGTTCTTATGAAAAGAGGAAATCTGGAAACAGACATCTATGAGGAGAATCTCACATGGAGATGAAGGCACAGATCAGAGTGGTAATGTTTGTATGAGAGAAATGATAGAAAAGTTGCCTGCAAATCACTAGAAGGGAGAGGCTTGCAACATTCTTCCTCACAATTTTTTGAGGGAACCAACACTGCAGGTGTACTGATTTTGAATTTTTTAACCTCCAGAACTGTAAGACAATAAATCTCTGCTGTTGAAACTACTCAGCTTGTAGTACTTTGTAACAGCAGCCCTAGCAAACTAGCACAATTCTGAAACTCTTAAAAAATATTTGATACTCTTCTTTGGGGCATGCCTTCAGAACATGGCATGGCATCTTGAATAT